AGGTGAGTGCTTTTCACTCACCTCATAGTTCTAGCCGACCTGTGACAATGAGACTGTCACAGGTCGGCTCAGTAGATCGAGAGGTGAGCGAACACATAACCGCGTTCGCTCACCTCTCGATCCTGTCACGGCTCTCTGCCGTGACAGGGGATGGGCTGGATTCCCACCCCAATCCGCCAGCGCTGACTGGTGGATCGGACGGGGGAGGGGGCGGGTACAGCTGGCTCTGCCTCTAGATAGGCAGAGCCAGCGGTCAGTCACGCAGCTGGGCGGATCCCGGCACAATTGTCGGGATCCGCTTCAGCTGCGGCGTCTGAGTATACTGCGAGAAGTAGCTTGCGGTATACTGCGGTGTCTCAGTATACCGCGAGCTACAGCTCGCGGTATACTGAGCCTAGGGTGACGGGAGGACGCTAGTTTGTGTCCTCCCGTTACCCTAAGGAGAACTATGGGGAACAGACTTAGCCCCATAGTTCTCCTTTAAGTAAGTGGTGCTCGCAGTGCCAATCACCGTGGAACCGTGCGAATCCACAGAAGATAACAAGCAGAGTCACCAGCACTCAGTACTTGAAGATGCAAAAGTACTCTATTAATAAAACGTCACATCAGTCAAATTAAGCAACGTTTCAGGGGCCTCGCACGGTTCCATCCTCAGGGCGACATAGTGACTATTACATGCAAGTGAGAAGATACAAATCAGGGGTGTGGAATTCCTATCACCTGACGCCAGGGACATGCAGCTCCAGGTGGGTAGTTTTTTTTTCTACATTTAGCCCTGCTTCGAGCAAGCAAGGCTAAATGTACAGCGGGGAAGCCGCTGCTCGTTTTGTACAAATGATCTCTGCCCCCTCGGTTCTCCCCCACCGGCTGCCTCCCCCTGTGCCGTGGTTTTGGAGTTCCCTTGCTCTTCTGTGGGACCCCGGTCCACGACAAATGCCTTCACAATGGAGAGCGGGGAGCAGAGCATAGAACGTCCGTCTCTGTATGCTGTAGGTATAAATTAAAGATTTTTACCCCTGTGAAGAGATACCCTAGTGTAAATTTCAGTTACGTTCCTGTCTGGGCATGGCAGCAAGTGTTAGAGACATTTCCTAAAGGGCACATTTGCAACAGTGAAGGCTCTAAATGGTGGAGGTTTCCATAAAAAAAAAAAACACAGTGACAGCTACTGTGTGTATAAAGGGTTAACTCCTCTTTTAACCTGCCCCAGTGACCATGACCCTTAACTTGCAGTTGCTTAGACTGTTATCCCACAAGCTGGAAAATTTTGCCACAGGGTGAGGCAATGGTCGCATGCTGGGCGCAGCAGCATCCGACACTAATCATCACAAACCAGCTCATTTCATTTGGAATCAGCAGGCATTATTTTGCACTTGTTGAAAAGATAAACAAAACAATTGCAATGGTATTTTTTAACAGACCAAAGGGAGTCAAAAAAGAGAAGCTCATTGTTCGGGCTTCTATACACTGCTTCAATATAGGTCACTAAAAACCAAAGAATAAACCGTCTATGGTCGGCCTTGTTGCTAAATATCAACAATTATTATACAGGTGGTGCTTTGCAAATCAACCACAGCAAGCGTTTCCCACTACAGCAGCATGCAACGCATGTGTTTTAAAAATGAGTAAGCACCCTCTTAATATAGGCTAGCATCTATGTGCATCGCCACAAAAGCCTCACCTGGGAAAGAACGGCATGGTTAAAACATTCAAAAGAAATAAAAAAACTTGAACAGCAAGACTGGTATGGAAATGGAGAAGTTCCTGGAAATTAGACAGACCACAAGTACCGCACAGGATGCTCATATCAAGGAGCAGCACAGCCAAATATACACTTTGGTGGTCGAGAAAAAAAGATAGATAAGCTGGAGACAGAATAAGTTATTACTTGTTTTCAGTGCTATTGTTTGTCCATGTGATAAATGGGGAAAAAGAAAAAGCAACAAGTTTGCTTTAAAAGGAGAACTATGAGGTGAGTGATTTTCACTTATCCTCATAGTTCGAGCCGACCTGTGACAATGAGACTGTCACAGGTCGGCTCAATAGAGCGCATACCGTCACTCGCTCACTTCTTAATCATCTCCCTGCAGAGAGCCGTGACTGTCACTCACGGCTCCCTGCAGGGATTCCCGCCCTCCCCGCTCCGATCTTCCAACGCTGACTGGGGTAAGGGACGGGGGAGGGTACAGCTGGCTCTGCCTCTAGATTGACAGCTGGCCCTGCCCATCACGCAGCTGGGTGGGTCTCGACAGTAATGTCGGGATCCGTCCCGGCTGCGGCGGTCTCAGTATACCGCGAGCTATAGCTCGCAATATACTGAGCTTTGGGTCATGGGAGGACACTAGTATATGTCCTCCCGTGACCCTGAGGAGAACTATAGAGAAAAACACTTAACATATAGTTCTCCTTTAAGGCTAGGTTCAGATATCGGCGATCTCGGGACGCGGGTCCCCGGGACTGTGCGATTGTGCACGGTTGCACGCAGCAATTGCCGTGCGGCCCCATTAATTTCAATGGGGTTATATCCGTGTGGCAATCGCTGAAAAAATGTACATGTACCTCTTTTTGCGACACTCACGTGTGGTACCTTCGCTTCTTGGCGAGGAATTCCCCAGCCCGGCCCCCAGCATTGCCAAAGCCCCACCCATATCCCGCCGAAGTCCCGGCTAGTGTGAAGGAGGGAGGGAGGAGAAAGCGAGGAGCCTCTCTGTCGCTCACTTGCTCGTCACTGCTGAGGCATCGAGTAGAGAACACCACCACTATTTTATGTGGAAGAGAAATGGTGTTCTGTAGTCCTACACACTGCCTGTCCTAAGATGATTGCGCTGCTCATCTACAGATACAATACAGTCAGTAAACGTGGTCACCTCAGAAACAGAAGTGTTACATTTTAAGAATTCCCCGGTGAAAATAAAGTATAAAGCTTGAAAACAAAAACTAATGCAGCCACCAAATCTAGGCACTTGTAGACTTCGATGAATTACATTTTTGAGTTTTGATGCAGACTAACTTTGCTTTTACATGGCAACTGTCTATCCATTGGACATGCCAGAACAATATTCCTCCATGATTTCATAACGTGACCAAGTAGAAAGATTGGTTCGAGTATCATCTGCTTTGGTCTGGTGAACTAACAGCTACTAATCCATCACCCTACTTATTCCTCAAGCTAGCCCAGGACCAGATATGATATTTTGACTAGACTGAAATAAGACTACCTCATTTAAAGGTATACTCAAAAAAACTGTCTACCCCCACCCAAAATATTACAAATTGGTTCACCAACCTCCTATGAATCAGCATCAGAACTGTCATTTTAACGCCAAACTGCAGCTTAGCAACCCACCCACCCCCCTTCCTCCCAGTCACTCTCCTTCCTTGCACCTAACTTAATATTTTCAATTATATGTGTGAGGCTGAGCCCGGGGAATGTGCCATTGACAGCCTAAATGCACAGAAAGGGGGTTAGATGGCATTGGGTGTGATTCAACCCAGAAGTGGGGACTGAGCAAGGAAGATGTGGAGAGCAGCACTAGAGGAGTGTGGCCTGGGCACATCAAGCTATTCCAAAAAAAGGAATGGGGCTTTCATTCCCAATAATATCCTAATAAATGCAAACTGCGATTCTAACACTGAAAAGTGTAAACTACGCTCTCAAATTCCCATGATGCTACAGATTCAGGACAAGTCATTATTTTCTCCTTTTGTAGGAAATTCAGCCTTCGAAAACTATGTATATGACTTCATATCTGGAATTCTAATAAAACTGTTACATGGGCTAGCTTTAAACAGCAATATCCCTCAAGGAGAGGATCTTTGATATATGCAAATGGTTCACTTGGTTTTACCAATCAGCCCCACGTAGTATGCCGTGTACAAAAAAAGAGATAACATGTGGAAATGACCCAGAAATGCCTGGCTTACAGTCCATTCTTTACACTAGTTTGTGTATAGGGTCTTGGCATTCAGAAAATATATAATGTTGGGGGGTTTTACGTCATTTTCAGGCCTAAAATGTGGAATATAACATGGGTGCAAAAAATAAAAGGGCCTCAGTCATGAAGGGGTTAATGAACTACAATCTGGCCTGGAAGCATAATGACACTGTTCAGGTGATCTCAATGGAAAGACTACTAGGAATGCTGAATGAAATGATATTTAAGTCAAAAACATTTTAAGCCATTTAAAATCCTGATGAAATCACAATAGATGCTGCTTCCTGACGTTTTAAAGTTTTAGCTTCCTGCAGAATCAGCTGGTCCACTGAGCACTGATCCTAATATCCTGGTTTAGGGCCCAATGGAGTCACCCTTGTGTGTGCTAGTAAGCTGTGTGCATCTTCACAAACAAAGAGACACAGCAAGGCAAGCAAATCCTCTGCTCCCCACTGCTTCCTCCCTTCTCCAAGCTAGTAGATGGACAGCTGCTGGAGACTGCTCTGTCCCTTGTGACCTTGTACTGGACAGGAAGTTCAGGGAAGTCGAGCTGAGAGAGATTTGTAGATGTTTGGAAACATGATGACTAAGTGCTTGGGTAAAAATGTAAAGAAATATTTTGCTGGGCAATGTATATTTGATCTGAATTCATAATTCCCAAAAAGTTTGAGAGTTTAATAATGACAGCTACCAATGGCAAGATTCCGCAGGAAGCAGGTGAATGTAAATACAGCAGGTAGTGGGCTGATGCAATAGCCAGCCTGCTATTGGCCATTTTAAATTGAGGAAAGAGCTACGGGATCCAACCAACGAATCCATAATGAGCATAGGTGACAACTATTCTCATTATTATCGATTAGTTGGTTGCAGCCCTGCTCCTCATACTTTGTTAGATGAAATGGGTTACGTAGGAAACATTACTCAATTACCAATTTCATATCAAATATCTTCTGTTTTAAAAAAGCTCCCAAAATGTATTTTTACCTGAATAAAACCTCTTTATGCATAAATCAGCTCGTAATCAAAGCACTAATTAGCCAATATCTGAATCAAAGCAAGCCTTACCTTTATAAAATTGTTCAGGTGACCCAATTTCCGCATGTTCGAGACTCCATGAAGTTTGGCCACATTTTGTAGAATTTCTCTGAGGTTGTCACTCGGTTCTAGAAAAATAAAAAATAAAAGATTTTTTTTTCTCCCAACATGGCATTATGAAACCTTCACAAGTTTAAAATGGCAAAATATATATGTACTGTATGTCAATAGTTTTTTAAGTTATTACAGGTATATGTGACTAGGGATAAACAAGCTTCTGGCACAATATCAATATTTTTAAATAGACAAACCTAAATCTAAAATTTTCAAGACATTGGCGTGTAAACAAATACATATTTAAAGTGGAACTGCAACAGTTTTATCTTCCTAAAGTAAACCTGGCTTAACTGTAACCCATTCAGGACCTCACTTCTTAATCATCTCCCTGCAGAGAGCCGTGACTGTCACTTACGGCTCCCTGCAGGGATTCCCGCCCTCCCCGCTCCGATCTTCCAATGCTGACTGGGGGAACGGACGAGGGAGGGTAAAGCTGGCTCTGCCTATCACGCAGCTGGGTGGGTCTCGACAGCATTGTCGGGATCCGTCCTGGCTGCAGCGGTCTCAGTGTACAGTGAGCTGTAGCTCGCGATAAACTGAGCTTCGGGTCATGGGAGGACACTAGTATATGTCGTCCTGTGACCTTTAAGAGAACTATAGGGAGAAACACTTACCCCATAGTTCTCTTTTAACTCTTGCAGTACAGGGATGGGGGTTGGTTAGCCCCACTTCAAGGGTTAATTAAAAAAAAAAAAAGTCCTGGAGTTCTGTGGTGTTTGGGAAGCCTACCTAATGCACCCAAACACACCGGAAAAAAAGGCATGTGCTATTTTTTGTAAAGCAGCACATTACAATGCACAGTAGTATTAACATGCGTTATGGTACTCTGCAATGCATGTCCTTTGGGATGCCATTAAGAATGAATGTCACCGCAGTGCAACGACACATGGTTTTACTGCAGCATGACAGCGAGGTACACATATAAACAGACATAGGAGTACATTCGAAGCACTCCGGTGAGATATGAATTATTTGAAACTCATTATACATAAATCCAGTTGTTAATGACATTTTGCTACAAGGACATCCAAAGCTAACCCCCACGCCCTCGTGGGCAAACATAGGTCAGAGCCCCTTTGGTGGGATGATATCAGGATGGATACATTTAGGACATGATAGGGTTGGGTAGGCCGATCCCAATACAGGCATGTTTGTATCTCATGGAATGAACACAACTCATCCTCAGTCAGTCTTATGAAACATATACACTGTCATAAGATAACTGCAGGAACGGTGTTAGAATTTCTTTTACGTCAGTGAAAACGACACTTATTTTTCTTGCTCCAGTGGCTTACATACTTTCTGACCCCCTATCGGTTGTCGAGGACGCCTGCGGTTAGAATTTAGCACTTAAAGTGTATATAACTCCAAACTCGGTTTGCTCTCATTTTTTTTGTTAAATATAGATATCAATGAAAGAGGGAGGTGAAGAAAGCCTGCGACTTCTGAGCTGCTCAACCAGAGAACCATCAAGCAAGAGGACAGAAAACCCAAGGACTGGCACTACACCTGTACAGCGGCTGAGTTTGCATTGAATAAAATAAAACAGACTTTAGTCCAGCTTAAAAAAAATAAAAAAAAACACTTTAGCCCCTGGAGTGCAGGCAGCCCGGATTTACACTTCGCTTAAGCCCAGATCCAGCGGCCATCCCGCCAACATGGGCCCAGTTGGCTCATTTTAATTCTCAGAGCAAAGCTAATGGTTTGCTTTAACCATTCACCCGTCTCCAGCATATACTGACCTTCCCTTTGCCTCGCCCACCAGAGAAAAAATACCCGGTACTCCCAGATGTAGAGAAGCATGTGATTAGGTCACTCAGTGCTGTGACTGGGGTATTCAATAGACTTAGCCCTCGTTCACACCTGAACGTTTTGTAGCGCGTTCTACGCTCGACCAACGCTCTACAAAACGCTCAAAAATATAAATCCCATTGTATTCAATGGTCTCATTCCCACCTTGGCGTATTTCCGCCCGTCCCTAACGCGCTACAAAACGGCCCACGCCTGAAAAGGTACAGGTACTACTTTGGGCCGTTTTGTAGCGCGTTTCCATTGGGATACAGCCAAGTAGCCTTCGAAAACGCACGACAGACGCGCATATGCAATACGCCTAGGTGTGAACGAGACCTTATGGAATGATTTGTGGCCATCAAAGGTATTTCCATTGTTCTTGCCATTAAACCAAGCAGTAGGGAAGCAAAAGAAAGGTAAGTATATGCTGCTAGGCAGGTCTGTATTAAAGTGAACCCGTTTCTTTATCCGGCATGTGCAAAGAACGGGTCCACATTAAAAGCAGAACTCTAGGCAAACAGCTAAACATAGAGATGTAGAACACTGTCAGAAGTGGCCGTGTGTCCCTTTACACCCAATTACCTCCTTCATTTTTTTTCAGACCTAGATGGAGTTGGAAGTAAGCTGGATGTAAAAGGAAGCACACCCATTTACATCTGACTGCCAAAGAGTTGCATCAGATCTGCCTAAAAACGGACAGGGCTGCCCGTGTAAAAGGGGTCTAAGGATCTGTCATTTGGGCAGCTGATCTTGTAATACACAAACCTCTACTAGTCTGAAAGATCACTCTGCTAATGCCTGGTTTGGCATTATTTGCTGCCTGGGTCACCTCTGCTCATTGGACAGGAAGTGTTGATGCCAAGTCAGTATCTAGTAAAAAGACTGCCATTAAGAGGTGACACAGGAAGCTAAATTCCTTAATCAAGAACTATGGGTGCCACCTGTCTGGCAGTATAGTGTAAAAAATTTGTGTAAACTGCAAGGTCGGCTATACAGAAATCCTTTGGCATGTTGAACAAACATAAATTGCATTTAGCCGTCTACCTGGAGCTTCATTTTAATGGCAAGCTAACTATACACAGGATGAGACCAAGCTGCGGTTTGCAATGCTGAGCAGGCACGGATAACTCAACCATAACAACCCACATTTCCTAGTAAGCAAAAGCTGAGTTGCGTCTCGAAAGGATGAATATTGCTTTCACACCACCTTACACGAAACAGCAATTGTCAAGCAGACTGTGCAAGCTCTGCCTGGGAAGTCTCAATATACCCCTGCAAATAATTGTTTCTAAGAAAAAGACTTTGTAGCTCATCCCTCCTGGGCTATGACAGGCCTCTCTGTTAAATGTACATATTGACAAAATGGGCTTTTTTCTGTTTTTGCACAAACTGCTAGTTATTTTTAAATATTCTATGAGCATATAATCCTTATTTAAACTCCCATCATCCTCTGCAAAGCAGCTGAAATCAGGCTGATGCTGGAAGCGCCTGCATCGGCGGCTTAAAGTGAAGATACAGGGAGCTGTTATAATGACTTCACAGTTTTACACTTCTGTGTTTCTGTTACTGCATTGAAGTGATATAATCCCCAACAATGCACTTCTCTTATTTCGTCCCTTTTAGTCTTGTTTTAAAACCATTAACTGTGGTGCCTCAGTCTGCTCACGCCATGTTATTGCTGTAATGCACGGAATACAGCATGCTTTAGCACAACGTATTGCTTCTCGCCCTTTTAGCGAACATCATGTCATTTCTTAGTATGATTGTGCTGTATTGCATTGTAGTGTTTTTGCGCTGCGTCGCAGTACAGGGTGGAACGTTCCCCCAAAACCGTATCTTGTTTTTTATAGAAAATAAAGTATATTTTTTCACTCAAAAAAAACTGTTATCAGTTTTCGGAGTACAGCACCAAGTATTCGGTGAGGATGGTTGCTTAGAATCCTCTGGAGTAATAGCCGAGTACTGGAGGAGTTTCCTTCCTCCTGGGTTGATTCTGGCCTGGTGCACCAGGCTTCTCCCCGGTGGTAGTAATTCCTTCTGGTAGGAGTGGTGCTGCTCTTGTCTGGCCGAAGAGCTGGAAGCTCAGAGGCCCGTGGTGCTGTGCCCCCTGTGGGTGAGGTCCCAGGGGTGATGGAAAATCACTTGGGAGTGGAACCCTACATTCACCAAAACTAGCTCACGGCACTCAAAGCTTTTATCTGCACTGCGCTTCTTGGGCAGGCCTTCTGGTTAGCTAGGAGCCATTTTAATCATGGCGGAAAGGCCTGCCAGGGTTGTGCACTGGCACTTATTTTATGCACTGTTTTTAAGCACGTTTTGACCCCACAGATGACTGAGGGTGTGGGTACCTTCGAGCCCCGACCTGATGTTAGGGGGAGGTTCTGTGGCTTCTACGGGCTTCTCTACCCCCCAGGGAACATGGGGAACAAAAGTAGCCACCTCAGCACCAATTCAGAGATGATTTGAGGATCTACAGCTGAATGATACACAAATAAGATACATTTCATTTTAATAGTTAAAAAGGAGAACTATGAGGTGAGTGATTTCCACTCATCCTCATAGTTAGAGCCGACCTGTGACAATTACACTGCCACAGGTCGGCTCTATAGATCGGGAACTGAACACATACTGTCGCTTGCTCATTTTTCCAATCATCTCCCGGCAGAGAGCGCTGACCGTCAGTCACGGCTCCCCGCAGGGATTCCTCCCCTCCCCTCTCTGATCCCCCAGTGCTGAGTGGAGGGACAGAGAGGGGAGGGGGCAGGCACAGCTGGCTCTCCCTGTAGATAGGCAGAGCCAGCTTGGTGGATTTCAACAGTATTGTCGGGATCCCTCACGGCTGCGGCGCCTTCAGTATATAGCTCACAATAGCCCGCCATATACTGAGCTTTGGGTCACGGGAGGACGCTAGTATATGTCTTCCTGTGACACTAAAGAGAACTATGGGGAAAAACACTTACCCCATAGTTCTCTTTTAAGGTACTTCATTGTTTTTCTAAGATTTAACTCCTCTGTTTAGTGTCACTTTAATGGTTCACAAAATTTTGTTCCGGTGTATGGTTTATAAAATTGTATATGTAAATGGTGGCAGACATATTTGCTCATGACATAAACAGTCACTGCTTCCTGCTTTGCAGTCTCACACAGCGTGTGTTCTTTAAACCGACACAGTCACTAAATCAAAGTGCCCATAAATGAGGTACATTTTTGTTAATAGTAA